CGCCTGGCGTGGCGCCCACAGCGGCGGGCCCGTCACCGCTGCGATGCCCGGCCCACTCCCGTCGGCCGCGTCGCCCTGCGCGCCCTGCCCCTCCAGCTGCGCCGGCACCCGCCGCCGCCGCGCCGCCGCCGCCGCCGCAAACGACCCCGACCACTCCCGCGCGGGCGCCGACTGCCGCCGCGCCCGCTGCTGCCCCGCGCCCGCGGCGTCGTCGGCGGCGTCGTCGCTGTCCCCCTGGCTGTCCTCGGCGCCGTCCTCCTCATCTAATGCAGGCAGGTCGCCCAGCTGCTGCGCCTCCCCGGCGACCGCCTGCGCTGCGCACAGGCGCGGCACCGCCAGGTCCTCCGGCGCCAGCGCCGCGTTCAGCTTGTCCACCGCGGCGTCGAAGTCCATCAGCGGCTCGTGGGACGCGAGCTCGAACACCGCCGACGGCAGCACGGCGGCGGACGCCTGCTCGGCGGTGAGCGCGGCGCGGGGGTCCGGGCCCGGGCCGAGCAGCGCGGCGGCGGCGCGGAGGTCGTAGACGGGCAGCAGCACGGTGCTGCGGATGCGGCAGCGCGCGGCCTGGAGCGCGCGGTCTGCGGCGCAGCTGCTGCTCGCGTGCTTGCGGTCGCCGGGGCTGGGGGGCGGCAGGTCGGGCTGCAGCGCTGCGTACACGCGGCCGAGCGCGCTGTCCGTCCCGGCGGGGCAGAAGCCATGCTTCGAGCTCGCGAGGCGGTAGAGGGGCAGCAGGTTGCTGGTCCCCATGATGGCAAACGGCGCGCCCTGCGCGGGTGGCGGGGGAGGGGCGCGCGGGGATCTGGCCGTGAGGGCCGGGCGGCTACGGGGCAGCCACAGCGCACTGCGCGACGCATCATGCGCACGCGCCGCGACCCGGCGGCGCACGCCGGGCCGTCTCCGCGAGGTGCGCACCCGCGTGCTCAGGTAGCGGTATGACCCTGTAGTGGGCTGGTCATCCAGCATCCACACCTGCGAGAGCCACAGCACGATTTACCTCGGATGACGAAAGGGGTGACACCGGGGCGCGGTGCGGCCGCGGGGCAGCGGCAACTGTCCACACAGCGAGGAGGTGATGCTGCGCGTTGCAAAAGCAAGATACCCACCTGTGCCAGCGCTCCATCGCCATTGCCTTTGCTGCAGCTGGAGTATGCGAATGAAAAGCTGTTCGTTCCCCGTGCGAGCCTGCCCTTCAGCGCGGGGTCTGAGGCGGGCTGAGCGACGTGGCGCATCTCTGCGACCATCATGTCCTCTGACGATGGGATGCCCCCAGCAGGGGGGCCGCGCCGGGGCGCACGATCTCGTGCGCACTGCACCGTGCAATATGCGCGACGAGGACAATTCACTTTGTATGTGAATGATTTTGATTCCGGATTGCGGCAACACGCTGTTGTAGCTCGTATGGATGATTGGACGCTTGCATGCTGGGTGTGCGTTGCACACCCTGTCCGATTCCACCAGATGTGATACCCACCAATCACGCACTGCAATCCAATGACTTTCGCGTTGAAGTGTTTCTGCCTGCTTCCAGGCTTCGTGACATTGCGCTTGCACCTCGGCCAGGAAAGGTGAAAACGCGGTCAAAGCCGTCAAAGAATTTACCAATTGCAGCCGTGCGGGCCTGTGTCGTTTACCTGATCAAGTATTGTACACCATGCAGCTAGTCAGCGCAGAAGATGAGGCGCTGGCGGAGCAGAACGGCTTGCCGCCGCACGCACTTCGCACGGTGCTGCGCGCCCTGCAGAGATTTGTCCTAGCGCAGTTGGGCGCAGGTCGAGGTGTCAGCATCCACCACATTGGCCGTCTTGTCTTTATTACCAGCAGCACGTCCACAGGCACGGGGCCGCATGCGCAGGAGCGGCAGCAGCTCGTATTTGAGGCGTCTGACGGTCTGACGCGCGGGCTCGCACTGCGGCTGGGGCGCGGTGTGGCGCGAGGCTTGGGGGCGGCCGCAGCATGCAGCGTGGTGGAGGAGGTCAACCACACCCAACTGGCCCTGCGGTGGGTCTCGCGCCGGGACCCGGGTTTGCCTGCCTCACCTGTAGCAGCCTTGCTTATGGGAGGGCCACGCAGCGTCTGCTTCACGCGTATATGAGTGTGTTGCACGTGCACCTGCTGTGCGTGCGCTTGCTCACACGCTCAACCCTGTCCTGTACTCACTCTGCCTTCACAACATAAACAAGTGACTTGTTATTACTTGCCTGACGCACAAGTACCTCTTGCTTTACTGATAATCATAATCAGGCCCCCTGGCCGTTGCAATCCAATTGTCGAGGCGACAGGTACACTGGGGGCGCGCTCAGTAAGGCCGGCGTGGCCCTGGCTCTGAAGCTCCTGACGCAGCAGCTGCACTCTGCAGCCCAGGCGGGCCGCGCAGTCGCGCTCGACCTCGGGCCCGGCACGCTGTCCATCCAAGGGGACCTCATAGAGTTTGTGTTCACTTTCAAGAGCACGGGCAGCGGAGGCACCAGTGCATGCAGTGGCGCCATAGGGTCGGCAGCAGCACGCTCCGACCTGTCCATGGCACGTCATGGCGGCGGCGCTGGCGCCCACTCCACCGTGGGCCGGGGCTCGGGAGTGTCCGGCGCAGAGCTGGAGGGTCCTGGCTCAGGCGGGGGCAGCTGCTGCGCCAGCAGCCGGCTGACAGCGGACGTGCTGCAGCGGCACCAGCAGCTGCAGGCCGTTACGGTGGGGTCGGCGGCGGGCAGCAGGCTCGGCGGCAAGAGCCGCGTGTCAGCGGCACAGTCGCAACATCCGAGCGGCGTCAACGGCGGCGCGGCTGCGCCGGCCGCCGCAAGTGCCGTTTCGAGTGGGAAGGAGGGTCAGCAGCAGCCTGTGGGCAAGAGGCCTCGCAGCGTGGCCTTGCCGCCAGGGGGCACTGCGCCCTCGAGCGCAGCAGCGATGATCCAGTCAGTCAAAGCGGGGCGTGAGGCGGCGCGGGCAAACGCGCGTGCCCGGGTGGCTACATTTGTTCTCCCGTGTGGTGGCCCCGACGAGCCGCCCCTGCCGCAGCAGCCGCAGGGGCGCCAGAAACCACCGGCCAGCACCTTTCCAGGCGCCAACGGCGCCCCTCCGTCTTTGGTGCCGCCGCCGGCGGTGGCGCGGGCACTGCAGCTTGCGGAGGAGCGCGCCGAGAAGCAGCGTGCAGCCCAGGCGCGCCAGGAGAAGGAGACTGTTGCTGCCATGGTGGCACGCAAGGCAGTGTTGGATGCAGAGGCAGAGGCCATCAAGGAGGAGCTGCGAAAAAAGCGGCAGCTGCTCGCGGTGGGTGGTTGGGACGGCATGCAACGAGCGCACGCCCGCCCTTTGGGCAGGGGGGGGGAGACGGACTGCTGGTGTTGGTCCTGCTTTTTGTTGAAACGGCTTAATTAAAAAACCAAGCTCCATCGCCTCGCTGACACAGTGCGCCGCACGCTCTTGCACACACCCGCAGACGACACTGGCCTCCCAAGTTTTGGAGCGCCAGATAGCGGCCCTCGAGACGAAGGGCAAGGCGTGATGCAGCAGGGTTCAGCGTCTGGAGGCATGTCCAGCTGAATTTGTAAAGCTGTATCTTGCTCTTCATATGAAACACCTCTGATCATGCAGGCAGCAACATCTGAAAGGTTGTCTCTGTGCAACCAAAGTGCCTCCATCACAGGCAGGCACTTTGCATGGGTGTTGTGTCCAGGCGTGTCCGGGGCTTGCTCATCAGCATCTTCGTGTCCACAGTCCACTGCCTCGCCCATCAATGAAAGTGCTCCTGCACATTGTCTAGGAGACCAAAAATTGTGCACGTCGGATTTACGTCATAACACCTGCTGGGGATGACCACCCAGCCAAAAACTGGGGTTCGTCATCGTGACTCTCGCATCGACAGCACCAGGGCAGCACATTGGAACGAGAGGGCCACCGTTGAATTTACGATGTTGCTATCTCGTGTTCACTGCCAGTTGAAACCCATACGCGCATCAGGTGCTCTCAGATCACACCTGTAGATCATCCGCGACAACGCGTGCTGCTGCAACATGGAGGTCTGCAGTGCGATCATTACCCTAACAGTTTCCATGACGGCATATCAGAACCTTGTATTGGTACACTTGCGGTGGCACCACCCTGGCGCTCCACCTCATCCGCCCGCCGCGGACCGCCGTGCAGGTCCCCAAGGAGTTTGGGCTGGTGGCGGGCACGGCAGTGGCGTCATTTGTTGTGTGAGTGCCTGCGCGGCGCGCAAAGTTGGCCGGGAATGCGGCGCTGGTTGACGCGCGCGCCATGCACGCCCCGCCCACTGAGCATCCCCGCGGTGGCGCATGCATCCGAGCCTCCTGCTCCCCCTCCCCTTCTTTCGCAGCCACCACATCTACATGGCCACGAAGGTGGGCGCTTCGAACGTGGGACCAGCCCACCCTTGACGTCACTCTATCAAGCCTTGTGACCCATTAATCGTGCTGCGTGGGCGCAGGAGCGCTGCGCCGGCCACGCATTCGGCCGCGTGTGGTTGTGACCTCGCCCAGACCAGCACGTGCTGCAGGTTGGCCGCATCACGTCAAATGCCATGAGCTGCGGCACCCTCACGGCCGCGGCCGACACCCTCACGGCCCGCCTGCAACTTGCATCACAAATAAATATCAGGTCGTCAAGGCACGCAAGAAGTACGAGGTCAAGTACCCCGCCCTCTACGCCGACAAGGTGGGGCCGGCAGCCGTGTGGCCGCCCCGCCCCCCCCCAGGGCGATTACCCCAGCGCGGCCCTTGCAGTACCGAGCGGAGGGGGATAGGGTGCGGGCGCTTGCCGGAGCGCCTTTCTCCATCAGCGCTGCATCTCTGGCGCTCAGTGTAGCTGCGACCCTACACATGCCTGTTCCCATCAACCCCGCTACCTGAGCCACCTCACCCGCCCCCCCCTCCCCAATCCCACACCGCAACCACCAGGACAACTGCCCCAACGAGGCCAACCGGACGGCGTTCAACTGCGTGCAGCGCGGCCACCAGAACAGCCTGGAGAACCTGCCCACGTTCCTGGGCCTGCTCACCATCGCCGGACTCAAGGTGGGAGCAGCACCGCCGCCGCTGCTGCGCCCCGCGCCGGCCGTCCTCCCTATGTAACGGAGGTAGCCGCGCGGCGTAGGCGCAGGCGCAGGCGCGCTCTCGGCTGCACTGTTTGGGTGCGGACACCTTGGGTCCCGGCGAGTTTTGAGGGCGTCGGAGCAGCGCGTCTAAAGGGGCCACGCCAGACCCCGGGTCAACTTTACAACCTTTGGGAGCCCCCTCCGTTGTTTTGCTTCCTTGACACCCAAAGTAGGGCTTTGCGTCTGGCCCCACATGCGGCGCCCCACCACACCCCTGGCCCTCTCGCTCGTCCCGCGCAGCACCCCCTGACGGCGTCCGCGTTTGGTGCGGCCTACCTGCTGGGACGCATCGCCTACTTTGAGGGCTACAGCTCCGGTGACCCCACCAAGCGCGTCAACGTGGGGGTGAGCCAGGCCGGCCACCGCCCTCCTTCCCCCCCTGTGGCGCTGTTCGGGCGTGTGGGCGGTAGTTTTTTCCCTGGCTCCAACCTGTGCATTGACTATCGCGTCATCACCCGCGTCCCCGCGTCCCCGCCCCCAAGCCTTCTTTCGCTCCGCCCCGCCAGCTCACTCGTCCCACCGCCGTCTCAAGCATGCCCGCTCCCCCTCCCCTCCCTCGCCATCCACTTCCCCAAAAACCCACGCAGACCCTGATTGGGTACATTGGCCTGTTTGGTCTGGCTGGCACCTGCATCAAGATCGCCTCTACTTTCTTCGCCAAGTGAGGTCTGGGGTGCCCGATCCCCCCGCACGGCCACCCTGCTAGCTGCGATCGGCGCGCTCTCGACACTGCTGCCGTTTCAGTCTGCGAGATGGCACGCTTGGCTTCAGCGGGAAGAGGCGGCGAGGTGCTCGCTTAAGGGCCGCAGCTGGCGGTGAAGGCTGCAGGTTCAAGGGCCGCTGAAAGCTCTAGTTCCGCAGCTGCCCTGCGTTGCGCGCGGGCTGGGCGCCGTTCGTGACGGCCGCACAGCCCGCTGCCATTTTTGGGAGCTGGTCGAATGCACGGTTGTTCATGGTGTGCTGCTCGCTGTGGCAGGGTGGCGCGCAGCAGCGCTGACTGTGCGGCCCGCCCTGGTCTGCAATGTCCCGACGCGAGGGCCGCTGCATTGTCCCATTGTCAGTGTAAACCCTCTGCCATGCCCTGCGCAACGGGTTGGCAGGTTGCACGCCCGGTGGGCAGGGGTGACGTGGTGCTGCGTGGCTCTGCCATCCTTGGCGTGCATGCTATGTTTTGGGGTGAGACCGCTGAGCGGTGACGGATGCCGTGTATATGTTACATCGAAGGTTCTGGGGTTAAAATGGGGCAACTCAATGCCCGCCCTAAGTCAGGCGCGCGGCCGCCGCTCCGCCTGTACACAAAGTGCACAAAACGATGCGGCGCGAAGAGCGGCGCCTGCCCTTCCCCCATGGGCTGGGAAGGGTGGGAAGAAACGACATGACACTGCTGCTGTGCGGGCGCCGCACAGAGCCAGAACAAAGCCAAAAAAAGCCCGCAACGCAACCGCATGAGGACGCCCCAGGCGGGGAGGCTAAGGGTCACCCAGTGTCACTCCAGCTGAACCGTGGGCAACAGTGCCTGTCCCCCTCCAGCAAGCACCCAACAGCAGGCCGTTGCACAACCGAGAAGACACGTCACAGCGCTTGATACGAGAACTCCAAAGTGCAGCAGTGCCGCAGCATGCCGCAACCACCGCATGCGACAGCCGCGTGGTGCTTGAGACCAACAAGCCTCCCCCACGCGTCGCCTTTGCCCAGCCGCGCCGTCAGCGCGTCCGTCACCCCCAGCCTGTGAATCGCCTATCCCACAACCGCGTCCGACTCCTCCCACTCTTCGTTGTCCCCGGCAACCCCGACTGCGCCCTGCTGCGGCGGCACTGTTTCCCCCGACCGGACAGCCCATTTATAGGCGCCCCAGGTCATTCCAATGTCCCCGCCGCCGGCCTGCGCCACAAGCTTGCACGTCCGCTTCGTCACCACCCGCGCCCCCCACGGCGGCGGCTCGTCCCTGGGCGCCGCCGCCATCCTTTGCATCAGCGCCCGCACGCGCGCCACGACGACGCCGCCCGCGCCGGCCGGCGCGCGCAGCGCCGCGTGCGCGGACGGCGCGGGCGCGCCGGGGTCGGCCTTGCGCAGCGGGGCCGGGGCGAGGTCGGAGCCCGACTGCCACCCCAGCCACGGGCCGCTCAGGATTGTGCCCGCATCGCGCTCTGGGCAGTGCTCTGCAGCGCGCAGCAGCTCGACTGCGAAGTCCACAACCTCGGACTCTGGCACGTCCTCACGCGCCGCCGTCAGGGGCCGTGCCCGCATAATCGTCAGGAAAAGCTCGAAGCGCGCCTCTGTTGAC